AGTTGCTCCGTGACCCTCCCTGCTTCCCCCCGACGCAGGGCAAATGGCTCTGTCTTGCTAACTAGGCTTTTCCACGCACTATAGTGAGGCTGAGCCATCCCGTCCAGGGCCCCTCTCCTACCTGCCTGGATGCAGGGGAGTCCCTCGCACCTTTGCTGGAAGCCCTGGGCTGGGCCCCCGTCAGGAAGCTCCCCCTGGGTTCCCATCCCAAGCCCCCTTCCCATGGCCTCCCCCACTCCTGCCAGAGCCCACTTGTCCCTGAGCCTTCCTCCCCACAGCCATTCCAGGGCTGCCTCCTACTCCAGCCTAGCTCCCCTGGTGCCAGCACAGGGTCCTGCTGTGTCCCATGACCTAGGAGGACACCAGGCATGGGGGTGAGGGGCGAGCTCCCCCCACTGCAGTGCTGCAGGGATCAGGGTGGCTCTGGGGTGGGCACCCAGCCTGCAGTTCTTGCTGCGGAGGTGGGTGCTGCCTGGGGCCGCAGGTACTGAGCTGCGCTGGGTGCTCGGGGCAGGCCAGCTCTTATCCCATCCCCTTCCCCTGTTCTGTCCTTTCGCCAGCTGGAGGAGGCTCCTGGAGGCAGCGCGGCGTGGGGAGGGCGTGGGGCGTCTGACGCCCCCGCCGGGATCGCCAAGAGCCATGACTTCAACTGTGCAGACGCTGCGCTTCAAGCTGCTGCCGCACGACACCGGGCAGGAGTGGGTGCACAGCTGCGAGCAGGAGATCGAGCGCCGGTACCAGGTGGTGCCCTCTGTCGTGTGCGCCATGTGCTGCCTCTTTGGGATCATCTACTGCTTCTTCGGTGAGTCCGGCAGGGCCGGGCTGGCCGCCTCGGCTGTGCAGCAGGGCAGGGAGTGGGGGGAGTGGGGCAAGAGATGGGGGCTTGGGGAGGGCAGCCAGAGAGCCGCAGCAATAACCAGCATGCTTTGCTTCCCTGCTCTGCCCCGTACATACATTAAATAATTTTTTTTTTTAATTAATGGAGATATCCCATCTCCTAGAACTGGAAGGGACCTTGAAAGGTCATTGAGTCCAGCCCCCTGCCTTCACTAGCAGGACCAGGTACTGATTTTGCCCCAGATCCCCTAAGTGGCCCCCTTAAGGATTGAACTCACAACCCTGGGTTTAGCAGGCCAATGCTCAAACCACTGAGCTATCCCTCCCCCCTGTGGGGACACTGAGGCGCAGGGGTGGGGCCTGGCCTCCCTCCAGCTCACAGCAAGTCAGTGGCAGAAGTGAGAAGTCCTGGCGCCCAGCCATGCAGCTCTGGCCCACTTGAGCCCACTTCTCTGTGCGCAGGGCCCCTGGCTCCCAGCCCATGTTCCTCCCCACAGCCAGGGAGAGCCAGCGGATGGGGTTGAGGCCGGGTTGGGGGAGAGGAGACTGGGGCGGGCGTCAGGGCCAGGGCAGCAGCTCCCAGCTGCGGCTCCAGTCTGACAATGACTCTGACACTCAGAGCTCAGGGGTTCGGGCGACACAGCGATGGGCATTGCCCATGAGTGCCCGGGAGGGGGAATTCGTTCTGCCATGGACGCGACGTAATTCTCCCCGCAAAATGGCAGCGCACGTGGTGTCGTTTTATCACATACTGAAAGCACCTGGCTCAGTCACCAGGCTGTCACCGAGCCGCAGTCGGTATCTCTGGCCTAGCACATCCGTGCCTGCGCCGAGGCCGCCTGCGGCGAACCCTGGCACCGCACCCCCCAGCAGGAGCCCTGCGCCCTCGGGCGGCGCAGAGGGGAGCTGAGGGTGTGCCAGGGAGGCCTCCTGCCAACCCTGCGTCCCCGCGGGCCGGACAGAGCCTCTGGCAATGACCAAGCCTGCTCTCCCTAGGCTACCGCTGCTTCAAGGCCGTCATGTTCCTGACCGGGCTGATGTTTGGCTCCATCATCATCTTCATGCTGTGCTACAAGGAGCGGGTGCTGGACACGCAGCTGAGCGTGGAGGCCTCGGTGGGCATCGGGCTGGGCATCGGTGTCCTGTGCGGGCTGGTCACCATGCTGGTGCGCAGCGTCGGGCTCTTCATGGTGGGGCTGCTGCTGGGGTTGCTGCTGGCGCTGGCCACGCTGGTGGCCATGGAGCAGTTCTACCACCCGCCCACGGTGTGGATCCCCATCGGGCTGCTGCTGGGCGTGGGCATGCTCGGCGCCGTGCTCACCCTGCAGTGGCAGAAGTTCTTCACCACCCTCTCCACGGCCGTCTTCGGCAGCGCCATCATGACCGTCACCGTCGACTACTTCATCGAGCTGCTGCTGCTGGTGCAGTACGTCTACGAGCGCGTCAAGGTGGCGCCCGCGCGGCCCATGTGCTGGTACAGCTGGGTCATCCTGGGCGTCTGGCCTGTCCTCGCCATGCTGGGCGTGCTGGTGCAGTGGAAAGTCACGGCCGAGGGGTACTCCCACACCGAAGGTGAGGCGGGACGGGCGGGCGAGGGACACGGGGAATATGGGATCAGCGGTGATGGATGGTGTGGGCCGTTCGCAGGCTCTGAGTGATTGGGGGGTGTTGTGGAGAGGGAGTCACAGGCTCTCAGTGATTGGAGGGATGACATGGGGGGGTTGGCAGGGTCCGGGTACCGTGGTGGGGGA